AATGGTTTAGCACCAGGTTACCAATGAATGTGCATTGTGTGATGGGTGAGAGGTGACTGTGATCAGTGCATTGAGTGATGGGGATTAGGATTCCCAATCCCATTGTTATTTGTTAGGGCCAGAGGGTACCCTCCTGGCCTTCATAGGATGGTTTGATGTTGTATGCAATTTTGACAGCCATTATTATTAAGTCTTTCACTGTACCTAGGGAGATATCAGAGTTTCTATTGGTCAGAGCCTAGAAATCTCACGATAAAAAAAACTTCAGGCTGTTCTGCTCAGAGAATTAGGTAGCCACAGGCATGAGATTTGTTCTGGTTCTGACAATGGCTAAGATCTACCCATTTATGAAATAAAATATGCCAGTGATGTCATGATGACCTCCCTATCTGAGTAGCATGAAGCATGTTGCTCTGAAGCTAATTGTCAGTGTGTCCAGCCTTTGACCCTGGAATAGATCAAACAATCCAGAAGGGCCCAGCTTTTTCTTCTCCTGGCCTGCAGTTGCCATGACGAGGGTTCCTAGCCCTGGTGTGGGACTCTGTCCCCTCTACCCAACTTAGTGAGTTCAGAAGGAGACTGGGAGAAACAAGCAGAAACTTTTTTATTCCTCCATTTTTGTCTATCTTTAGGCCATAGAACTTAGTCGTGAAGCCCAAGATCAATTAAGAGCAGTACCAGGTTGTCATATGAGTCCCCCCACTAACACCTCCCCTATCCTCTTTGAGGACAGCAGTGTCCCGGGAACTGTGCCAGGAAGTGGGATGGGGTTCCAATCCAACATTCATTGAGCAGAAGTCAAACTTTTCTCCCCAAGTTGTTTAAATTGACTTGCAAAGTGCTGTTCTCTAATGGGTAATTAGTATTAGATGGAAATTGCCTCAGGGAAAGAGGGGGTGATGTGCCCTGGGAGTCTTCCCTTCAGGAGAGGAGGCTCCTATAACAGGTCTGGTTTCTGCTCACTCAGGTTCTAGAAGGCAAATCCCCAGACAGAATCCTAATTTCCTCACCGGTCCTGGGAAGCACTCTGCCAGTGAGGCACTGTGTCTGCTTCTTGAGGGAGCAGACATAGAGGTCCCGCATGATACTGAGCTTCTGATTATGAGCACTTCATGTCCCATGAGTGCCTCAAGCATAGGGAACCACAACCAGGGCTGGACCCTTGGACTAAGCTCCTTTCTCTGTGCCCCCTCCACTCCCTCTATGTAGGGGACCCATGAGAACTGATGCAGGGAGCTAGTGAAGGGGCCGTAGAAGGTGGTCCCCAGAAGCAGGAGGCCTGAAGAAATGAGGCTCATGTAAAATTACCCAGTGCATGACCTGTCACACCATGGCTAGGCCAAGGACACATCCATGCATAAGACATGTCCATGCAGGGGACATGTCCATGCATAAGCTATAGCACTTTCTCAAAAGGAGAGTGCAATGTGATACTGGGTATGTGTGCAGATACGGTAATGCAAGTAAGACTAGGGCAAGAACGAAGTGAGTCATGTAACCTCAAACACCAACACTTAGTGCATGTGATCATATCCCAAACGTTTGCACTGAGCTGCCTCTAAAATGAAACTGACAGGTCAGAAGAATACATCAAGTTGGTCACAGGGAGTCAGGTTCCTACTGGCACTGAGATACATTCTCCTGGGAGTTCACATACTCCAGTTGGAGAAACCCTATGTTGTGTGCTCAGTGCATGTCTGTGGGATGGGATTAATACAGGAGCTAAGGGAAATGCACAATTATTAGAGTTTAGCCAAATAAGGGAGACTTTCCGCAGAGAATGAGCAAAGTAAAGAGGAAGAAAATTAGGAGAGACAAGTCATGGAAGAGATAAATATGTAAGTAGATGAGAAAGAAAGCAGTAAGCATAGCTTGAAGCCAGATCATGTTAGATGTTGTATTTGAAAAGAAGAATATTTGGATTTATCTGGTCTCTTCAATATTTTCTGTAAGGATTGGCTGACAAGTTACAACCGGTGCTTTAGGAGGATTACACTGAATCTGTCTGAGGACAGAGATGTGCCGGGAGAGGCAGGAGGCAGAGAGATGCATCCTGAGGCTGCTGCTGTGATCAGGGTAAGAGTTGGCCAGTGGCAGGACCAAGTCAGAGGGAGGTGACAGCAAGGACCGTGAGGGTGGAGGAAACTGAGAGAAAGGAGGAAGGAGAGAGGCCAGGAGGCCAGTGAGGGGAGGGTATTGAAGGCTGGTCACTGGAGACGTAGGTGAGCACTGTCTGGACATCAGGAAAGTGAAGGTGGGAGCTGGCCTGTCGGCTCTTAGTCGTCAGGTATAGAATAGAAGAGGCTTGCACTTCTGAACACTTGGCCCCATAGAGTGGAACAAACTCTGGACGTGGAATCAGGGGAGCCCAGTACAAATCCTGAATTAATTCGCGTCTTTATGTCCTTCAGGTGCCATCATAACTCTAAACTCATCAGCTTTAAGGGAATCTCTGCTTCCCGCAGCCCACCTAAACTCGAAGGGATACCAGGAGTTCCATGAGGAGGTCTAGTTACTATCTGCAGTTTCCTGATACCTGACCCTGACTCCCATGCTGAGAAACAAGGCACCAGAAAGCAAGGCTGGGGAGGGGGGCGGGCAGTTGTGTAGGGGTAAGTGTAGCATTCTGAGCTGGAAGAGGTGGGGAGGGACCTGAGCCTAGATCAGAGGAAGAATGACCTAAGTCACTAACGAGGAAAGACTCTGAGTGTAGAAAGGTAGGACCATTCTGTAACCAACAGTTACTAGTTGTACAGCCTGGGAAAGTTAACCTAAATGGGGTAGTTGTAGCATCTCCTCATGTGAGGCTATAGACAGTGGTTGACTCTCAGGAGAGTCAGCTCTAAATTCCTCTGAAATTCCCATGTCATTGTGGTGGCCACTGTCTTATGGTTTCTGGGCCCATCCAAAACTAAAACAACCTGCCTCCGCCCCCAAATAGATCCAAATATATCTGATCTTTGTTTTTCTTTTGTAAAAATGAATGTCTTGGAATCATCACTTTTAATAGTTTTAATGGTTTTATGACTTATGAGCACCTGACAGCCTTATATTTAAAAATGCGATCATTATCCCATATCGCTAATTAGAAGAATAGTCATGATAAGTTTTGCACCTATCCAAGCCCCAGTTTCCCTGTAGGTAAGAAGAAAAAATATATGACTTCGAAGCATCCTCTCAGCTCACACATTTTTTTTTTCCTTTTTGTCTTTTTTACTGACCGGAAACAGGATCGCAACCCTCGGTGTTGCGCCCACTCCGCGCTCAGCCAGTGAGCGGGAACCGGTCTCCACATGGGATCCGAACCCTCGGCGGGAGTGCCGCTGCACTCCCAAGCGGCGCAGTCTCCAGTGCGCCACCGGGCCGGCCCCACATTTTTTTTTTAAAGATGACCAGTATGTGGATCTTAACCCTTGTCTTGGTATTGTCAGCACCATGTTCTCTAACCCTTGTCTTGGTATTGTCAGCACCACGTTCTCCGAAGTGAGCTACGGGCAGGCTCTAGCTCACATGTTTTAATTCTAGACCCTGAGAATTAGTTTCCTTAGGGCTGCTTTTATATCACGATTCCTCAGGCTATAGATAAAGGGATTGACTAAAGGTGTCACCACTGTGAAGATGACAGTGGCCACTGTGTCCTGTAGTGAGTAGGAGGATGAAGGGCGCATATAGACCCCCAGGATTGCCCCATAGAACAAGGAGACCACAGTGAGGTGGGATCCACATGTGGACAGCGCTTTCCGTATCCCATGGGCAGATGGCAGCTTCAGTACATTAGAGAAGATGTGAGCATAGGAAGCAATGATACACACAAACGGTGTCAGAAATATCACTCCCCCCACAGTGAAGACCATCAGGTCATTGATAAAGGTATCAGAACATGACAGCTTTAGAACAGGGTAAGGGTCGCAGAAGAAGTGGTGCACAGCATTGTTGGAACAAAATGAGAGCTGGATCATGAGAAGAGTGTGTAGGAGAGCATGCAGATTTGTAATGCCCCACGACGTGGCCACCAGAAGGACACAGAGTTTGGGCCTCATGATCAGGGTGTAGTGCAGTGGGTAACAGATGGCTACGTAACGGTTGTAGGCCATCACGCTCAGGAGAAACCCATCCATGTTAGTGAAAGTGATAAAGAAGTATATCTGGGCCATACATCCCATGTAAGAGATAGACTTGTCCTCCAATATGTGATTCACCAGCATCTTGGGGATTGTGACCGATGAAAAGCAGGTGTCGACGCAGGAGAGGTTGGCCAAGAAGAAGTACATGGGCGTGTGGAGATTACTGTCACAGCTGATGGCCAAGAAGATGAGAAAGTTCCCAATGATGGTGACCACGTACATCCACAAGAACAGCCCAAAGAGAATGTCTTCCTGCTCTGACTTCCCAGAGAGTCCCAGGAGAAGGAATTCTGTAACTCTCGTCTGGTTGTCTCTGTCCATGTCTGTGGGGCAGAATACGTGGCTGAAGGCAGAAGGAGAGATTTAATTAGTTGTGCTCCATCTATTATTGAGAGATTGCTATTTTCAAATGACACCAGATGCCAGGTTGATTTCTCAATTAATATCATTTCAAATATAAAATTTCATGAGACTGATGATAATAGTCTCCATTTGAGCAAACATTTTATGGTACTGTTTTTGTCATTATTTGAGAATTAATTCACACTAGATAATCTTACGGAGTTAGCTTTATTGATTAATTTCCATACTGTTAAATTATCTTTGATTACATAGAGCTTAATCCACACTTCTGTAGCATTTACTAAACACCTCGTATGTACAAACCATTGTCACATATACTATATATTTTGATCCTGTGAATGATGAATTGCTTCATTCACAGATGAGGAAACTGAGAAGCGGAATCAGAAATGAAGAAGCTGAGACTCAGAGGGATTAGGTGATGTTCCCCAGCTTCTTTGATTACATACAGCTTAATCCACACTTCTGTAGCATTTACTAAACACCTCGTATGTACAAACCATTGTCACATATACTATATATTTTGATCCTGTGAATGATGAATTGCTTCATTCACAGATGAGGAAACTGAGAAGCGGAATCAGAAATGAAGAAGCTGAGACTCAGAGGGATTAGGTGATGTTCCCCAGCTGACAGACTCCCTGACATTTAGCAGCCCTAAAACAGCTTTAAAAAATTCCCTTTTCTCTAAATTCTTCCCTAGTCTTCCCTCAACACTTTCATTCGCTGCCAACGTTCGAGTAACCAAATGCCAGGCACTGTGCTCTTGCTTCACGTGTGTGTTCTCCTCTCATCTGCATGAGAGCGGCAGGTTACAGATACCTAAGCTTCATTGAGCAGAAGGAAAACTGAAAGTAAAGCCGTTTTGCAATTTCTTCAAGGTCATCAATTCTTCTACCTGAATAAAATGCTATTTTACACAACTCATTCAAATTCACTCTTGGTCCCTCCCCGAGGGTTCGGATCCCACATACAGACCGGCTTCCGCTCACTGGCTGAGCGAGGCGTGGGAGCAACACCGAGGCTTGCGATCCCGTTGCAGCCTCGGTTGTGCTAAGCATCCTGGTATGGTTGTCTGTGCCACATTTTGCTAAGAGAGTCTTTTCTCCTTTACGCCAGCCAAAATAAGAAGATCAGTTAGCTGTGGTACTTGGTATTATTTTTAGAAGGAAAAGAAGAGATTCACAGAGAGCAAAATAGTACGGTCCATTCAAGTGACAATCCCAGCATTCAGAAATCACAACAGGCAGATAAATTCAGATAAAGCATCACGGTTGCAGTAGCCCTGAAGAGTTCACAGTATTTGGATGGTAGAGAAGACGGGAGATGGGATGTCTGGTAAGAGCAAAGGCCAGGGGTAAAGAGAAGGAGGAAGGGGGAGGAGACTGACGGGTTAAGTGGCTTGACTGGCTTGG